TCTTGCAGTGTATGCTGTCTCTTGGGTACATGTTTAGTTGTGGAGTTTCCCCTATCGAGCAGCCGGCTTTCCGGACGGACTTTGCTGGGTTAACTGAGACTGCCCACCTGCGGCTGTCTCATTGAGCCATCCGGCTCAATCTCATCTTGGCTTGGTTCCCGGGATAGTGACAGACAGCTGTGTAACGTTCGGGACATCTTGAGGTTTGGGTAGCTTAAGTGGCCTGTTCTCTTCAAGAACGGTTTGCGGAACTTATAGCCTTAAATTATAGTGTCTTACATTCTTTTGCACCGCCAAAACTTGAAGGTGAGATTTGACACTCACACCTACCACCAGGTTGAAGGAAATAAATTATTGTTCGTGATTCACTTGTTTATTTCCTTTACGGGTTGGAACCTCGGGTTGATAAGTCTACCTTTTTCGAATCACGTGGCGCCTACCTACCACCTTCCGGGATTGACCGAGGTGCCCTTCACCGCCTTCCAACCTGGCTTTGGTTTAGTATATATATATATATTTTTTTCTTTTCTTCTTTATTAATTTTTCTCGGTTGTTAATGAGCTAGCCTAGGCATTGTCTTACCTCACTATTAAATTACGAATTTAATTAATTAATGCGTTTCTTTTTCACGACCCTGAGATGGAGAGGTAAGAGCCTATAGCCCAACCGCAGAAGTCGTCTTGAGGAGTGCCATCACATGAACCACGTTTCTTTATGCCCTAAGAACGTTTTCTCTGTATTTCGCTTTGATCTCGATGAGTCCACCATAAAATATTGTTTTGCTTTGCATTTCACAGCATCCTTCTCTTGCCTGTTCTCGGCAGCAATCTGTTTAACTTTACCATTTTTTCCTCCTCTCTGTTTATAACTTTGCGTCTATGTGCCCTCTGAAGTTGAGTTTGTCATCTATTGTGATGGCTAGGTAGTTGGTTCCTATTTGTGTGTCAAGTGCTTCAAAGTTTATGTGATTTCGCGTAGTATAGCCTCGCTCTTGGTTGGTTAGTTTATTTTTTTTAATTATGTCAACAAGATGGCCACATTGTTAGATATACAGACTGGAGCAATAGTGTAACAAAACAAGGTATTTCGTAAAGTTCAGATAAATTGGAATAATTTTTTTTTAACTTCGTATTTTAGTTTTTAAATTGTTCGTAAATCAGAGAGTTTGTATTTTCTAGTATTTTCTTCAGTGGTAGCTGGCAGTATCCAGGCTATAACAAGCCCATGAGAAATAAAATTTTCTTTTGCGTTGCGTTCGCAATTTCAACAAGGAACATTGTCAAGAACTGCCAGGAAGTAACTATAATTCGAAATGCTAAGGCATAGTAAGGTCAACTATCTCTCCGTCTATTCGCCACTCTCGGAACTCTCTACAGTCATCATTAATGCAATACTACGTCTAAGAAACAGAGTATGTTCTCGGTTCATACTTCTGGATTGGATTTATTTCAATCAACAAATTTAAATATTTGGGGATTAAATCTTTTATTTGACTTAGAGATTCCATTTTTTGAAATAGTTCGTTCACGAACCCGGCCCTACGACCTTCGGTTTTAGGAGTATGGCTAAACGTCAGAGTCAGTTCAATACATAATAGCGTTGCTTCATGTTACGTTGGTGCAAGTTTTACGAATTACTTTCAGTGCTTCTGCCGTCGCCGTGAAAGGCCACCTTTAGCTGAGTCAGGGCTACGCCGCCGCCACCCCAATAATAATCGTTTCGCGAGTATATACATCACGCCGTTAAGGGCGCGGTCTAATTAAGCCTCCCTAGGGCGTACAATCTTTTGTCATATTAGTGTATTGTTTTTTTATTAAAGCTTCTCGGATTACCCGCCTTAAATATACAGAGTTATTCACGGCGTTCGGCAACACAGTTCTTCTTCTTTTAGTATGTTACTTATGGTTAACTTTTGAAAATTAATAAGTATACAGATCCTCTATAGTGTTGAAAGCATCAAAGCTAGAGGGTCTAAATGAAATCCCTTTAAAATTGTTTTTTGCAATAGAGTCATATTGGAGGTGCTCAAAAATTAATTCTTACCCTTTAAGAGCCTACAACCTTTCCAACAAGCATCTAAAAGAAGGTCCTTGTGCAAATGGAAAGAGTTTGTACGGTAATCAACATGGTTTCATCAACTCAAATCTCGAGTTGAGAAGGTATTACCGGACAAAGAATGGGAGGTGGCTCGAAAACCCAGAGATGGAGCTGTCGTTATTCACAAACAACAAGAAGCAAGGTGCAACTCGTTTCCATGTTCTGCAGGGCGTGACGTTCAAACCGGTCCGCACAGTGAACTTTGACTCCGAGCCCTCTTGAGCACTCACGTCAATGAAATGACCCACAAGGCGTACACATATCTGTGGATATGCCGTTGACTTTGAGGACATAACTGATGGTAACTAATGGTGGTAAGACCACTCATTCTCTACGCTGCCCTCGTATGGTGCTCTAGGACGAGTACAAAGGTGACCAGCTCTTTGCGTCAATGGGGGCCCTCATAGGACTCGAGCTCTCGCATCTGAGAGCCCTTAGATTGCACATTCTGGGAAACAGGAAGTCCGAGACAGAGGGACACCTTATATGCTTGCATGCACCACATAGAGCAAACATCCGAGCGAGGACGACTGGCTCTGCTCCGAAGTAAATATTCTTGTGCCTCATGGGCTTGTCTGGTATACGGACGGGTCCAAAATATACTGAAACAGGAGCTGGTATATATGGCAGCAAACCTAGGGTATAGATATATGTTGCTATATGTTGCTCTTGGATCTATCAGGCAGAGGTATGTGTGATATTGGTGTGTGCTCACTAGAAACTCATAAAAGAATACTGGGACAAGCATACCTATATTTGCAGCGACAGTCGTGTGACTGTCCAGGCCTTTACATCTGTGACGGTGTAACAGTAACAGATATCTTATATTGTGCACCGAATGTGTGTTCATTTTACTATTTTAAATACACCATTGCTACATGTTTGTGTTTTTGTGCGACGTTTAAATTCACATAATAAAGTAATAAAACTTGCATGCCATTTTAATTTAGTCTACTGCCGAAATCGATAGTTCAAATGACATTACCTTTTATTATTTAAATTATACTCACTTTATTTGGATACACATTTAACTTTTCTTTATAAAAAATGAAATTGTTTTGGAATTATTTCCATCGTGAGACTTATAAATTGCAAAAGTTTCTAAAGTTCAGTAACAAATGAAATGCTAATACAAAACATAAAAATTAGTTTAACATTGGACTTTATTTTTTAATCAATCAATCATTCTTAAAACTTTCGTTTAGCGCTTAGGCCACTATGCATCTGAGAGACTTAATTTTTAATTATATAAAGTGTAGATCTCTGGTTTACGTATCATTCTTTTCTGTGTTTCAAACACGACGATTTTACTAACCCTGTGCCATTGAGCTATTCCATATTTTTTTAGCTCTTCCTTTGTGACCGTTTCCCTCAAATTTATTATTAGAAAACAATTTAGTTTGAAAGTTTTTTGGTCCATTTTTATTCCTAAGAAACGATTTCTAGATTTACCCTATTCAGGCGACTTTCTTGGCTAATCTTATTATTATTATTATTATAAACAAACCTATAAAATTAGTGACTTGGTGGCACTTAATGCCAGCTTATTGTCGTCACACCATTCTCTCAAAATTGTAACACCCTCGTTTGCGGCTTGTGATTTAGACTTTTTTTATGGTAACCCACGTAATCTGTTGTTTACCTTCGAGGTATAATTTTAACCATTTATGTGGAATTCCTTTAACCGATATTCTGGAGCTTCACGAACCGGCATAGTCATAGAAAAGTCCCAAAATTTCGGTTTTTATTATCAATTACTTCATGAATGTGACAATTTGAGCTAACACTCTTTGAGTAGACCTTCCGTTCTATTAAAGCATCCTACAAAAACTTTTGCAATGTGGGTCTGCTCTGCTTTTTGAAACTTTGAAATTTTTGGGATACATTTCCTTGGAGAAACTTAATAAGGCTTAAATCATCCTCAGATATCTCGAAAATGATTTTTTCTGGAAAATCATCGATACCGCAATTTTTTTTACATATTTTTTTCATTTCGTCTGGTGTTGTTTCAAACAGAAAAAAATTACTGTCGCGATCTATCCTTTGGGATTATTTCCCTCTTCCCAGCTTTTTCGCAATCAACCTGATCGTCAAGTTGTTAAAGTATCAGATATTTGAATTTAGTGGAAATGTTTTCGTATTTATATTTATATTTTTTATATAGTTTACATTTTTAATATTGTTGTTTATTATTTACCAAGTTTATCATTGTGTGTTCTGTTCTCGTTCTTTTGTTTTCCTTTATAACTATCTTGAAAAATTATGCAGGTCTCGTGTTTCTTTTTCTAAATGTTACCCAATCAATTTGACTTAATTCTTGTTTAAACAGAAGTATCGTACATTGTAAACGAATTGTAATTATTCTATTATTATAGGTGCCCTATATATAGCACAAATGACTAAATTAATTGAACCTAATACAACATAATTCGAAAACTTTTTCGTCGCACATGGAACTAAGTGTATTTGAATCTTTATATCTTTAATAAATGCCTAGTCTACTTTACTCTTGTTGTGACATGTAAGCGGAAAAACTAATATTTTTTTAACGCACCACGTACAATTAAGGAGAAAGTATTTCGTGTGGTGCGAAATGAACACAAAGCGGACGCAAAAAGGAATTAAAAGGGTTTCGCGGTGGGTGGGGTCACTATAGACGGCGAAGATTGAGCAAATGCGTGTCCGAAGGCTTTTCAGCTTTCTGATTAAATTATAAGCCGTTCGTTTATGCCATTTACACCCCCTTTTGTCTAAGGAATAACGAAAATGACCTCCCTCGCGCCTCTCTTCAAGGAGAATATACTCGGTCAGAATTCTCTTGACTTTCGCGCCACGTATGTGCCCTGGGGCAGTTCAATTGTTTCGTAAGATTGCAGTGGATTGCAGTGCGTTGTACGTTTTAGGGCGAGCCCACCTCTCCTCAACCCTCAATAGACCGACTCTCGGTCACCTTTGCTGAAGATTCCGTCAAAATTGATCCGAAAGGCACTACGAGTTCGAACTCTTCAGGCGCCGAGACTATGGACAAAACACCCCCGCCTATCCAGGGTGAGAAGACGAATATACAAGCTCTATATTTGTCTTTGCACATATGGTTTTAGACGGGACTCAAGCGGACTCAGATCAGGAGGACTATTCGGCCAGCGTGAATGCGATTATCCAGCGTCGGGCGTCGTCGCGGCGTTCACGACGCAGGAATCGACGTGCTAGTTCTCCTTTGGATGTGATGCCCGGTCTAGATAACGGACGAAGGAGGTCGTCTGTATTTACCACCAGTTCCGGAGAGTAAGAATTAATTAATTAGTGCTTAAAACTGAATATTAGTCCATTAGTATATTGTGACTATTTGAAACTACATAAACGACTTTTAGTACTGCCATAACGGTGGACGACAACCTTAACAACGAGGTGACTCAGGAGGAGATATTCGAAAATATTAAACTCCACAAGGAAGTCTTGGGTAATGTGAAGATGCAGCCTTGGAACATGAGAAAAAAGCTCAAGCTCGTGGTTCAGGCGAAAAGTTACATCAAAAAGCACGAGGGCAAGCTGCAAGAGCGACTTGCCCAAAGTCACTCCACTAAAGACATGCTAGCTAGATGGAATATTTACATCATCAAGGTAAGAACGATCCTATTACGTAGGGTAGCGGGATCCTTTTATGTCTCCATAGTAGTTAATTTTAGCGAAAAATTTTAAATACAATAGTTATGTTATTTCTTATTATCTATGAAAAGTCCCAATGTGGAGTAGTTTAAATTGAAATAGATTTAACCTTCCCCCACCAGTTTCTTTAGCATACAAAAAATCTGAAATTAGCTAAAAATCCTCTTTAATAATAACTTAGTAGTAGTGTATAGTTAGTGGGACAGGATACATAATGTGTTTGGATTCTTTTTACTAACTCCTTCCTTATAGAAATGGCAACGGTGGAAGCGAGAGTTGACGAATTTTTCGATGTGGTTTATTCCCTGGGAGCTTAAAATCAAAGAGATCGAGTCTCATTTCGGATCTGTCGTCGCATCGTACTTTATTTTTCTGAGGTGGTTGTTCTGGGTGAACATCGTGATAGCGGTGGTCATAATCTCCTTCGTCACGATCCCCGAAGTAAGTGACTCGTTAAACGTTAAGGTTCAACAAGTAAGGTTAGTGAGTTTAGGTTATACAAAATGAGCCCTGGTAATTATAACATTAATCAGCAAATTTAATTCATAATTCCGGATTGAATGAGTAACAATTTAAAATCACTAATTGACATTAAGCTTTTAAACACATTTCCATTATTTTGAATAAATAATCGCGAAGAATCTCGAAACGATTGTTCTGAATTTGATTTTCAGCAACATTAATTCACTTTAGTAACTAGTAAATAAGTTCAAATTGTCTGTAACACTTGTAATGGACAAAAAGAAACTGGAAAGAACCTGCCGACAACATTGTATGTAACCTAAAGATTTGGTTTATAACTTAGAATCAGCGTTAATAAATAAATAATAATAAAGTTCTTACCTTAAAAGAAAAGATAGTAAAGACATTTTGTATTGAAGCTTTTTCAGCAAGGTAACGAAGAAGCATATAAGTTATTGTGGATCTAAACACACTTCTTTTACGTAGTTGAATAACTTCTTCTTTTTGCGACTAAGAAGTACAAGACCACATTTTGTTCCAACGATAATATATACAGTATTTTATGTATAGTGTTTTAAAACTACAGCTGCAACTTTTTAGTTGAGTAGAAGAACTTAAGTACATAACAAGTTTACAAGTTCTTAACTTGTAAATTTCACCTGTCATTACAAGAATACACTTATGGTTTTGTAAAATACGTCTCTGGCCTGGCTGCAACCGTTATAACAAGAATTTTTGCCTTTCGTCCCTTAACTATCCGAGTCATTCAGTAAATTATATGATATTATTTCAATAACACCATGTATAATGTGTTACCAGAGACTTCTTCTTGTCAGTAAAACATTGTCGACAACTTTGATACTTTACAGCACAGTGTAGCTTTCGCTCATACTAGATCTGTTTGTTTTTATATGTTACATTTTTTATTTATACTTTATGACTATATACGGCTATATATTTTTGAAAAACCCAAAACTCTTTAAAAATATGCGATGCGTATGTAAGTTTAAAACCCTGTGTCCCAAATCTTAACACATATTCAGCGAAAAATGGTTCAACCAAATTTACAAAAAATGGGGCAATTTAAATGAAACCCGTCTCCTGATTTTCGTACGTGTTTTATAAGTTGAAGCTATCTTGGATAGTAGTTTTCGTCGTTAAATATTGTTCGTATTCATCATCAGTTTCCAAGAAATAGGTCCCCTGAGGAATATTCTTGCTGGCAGCTATTCCCATCGGATAAGCCTAGAGCGAGAAAAAAATATTTTTATGAAGCAGACTGTACATGCACCGATAAGGTAAAACTGTTTTCTCTTGTTAAAACTTTCCCTCAACCTGTTACGAAAATATTAATAAACAAACATTTTCAGGTAACTTCTCCATAACCAGAGAGTTTTAAAACGAATGCGAAAAACTAAAAGGGGTGATTAAATGTTGGGTCAAAGTCCAACCGTTAGGTATTGCGCTGCAAATAAATAGGAATAATAATGTTTTTCTACTCCCGTTTGTAAAATAACTAATTACCCACCGATCTAGCGTGCGGGAAGCGTCACTTTACCACGTCAGTTTCGCTTAGCACGGATCCGAGCCACTTCGGACAATTCCGGGATTTTACCGCACGGGTTTGGGAGCAATCGGATGTTTTCGGAGATATTTCCCACGCTTTGAATTTTGACGTTTGTCAATTCTGACGGTCATATCAGTGAATTTATTCGTGCTGTTTCACGAAAAAGTAACCAAAAGCTAACGGTCGTAGAAAAAGTATAGTATAAATCACTCGTGAGTCAAATGCCGTTTACCGCACTTGTTGCATAATATATTTATTTTAAAAACGAAAATAGGGCAATGAAATACAACCAAGTGTTTCTATTATAGCAACGCACTTAATGCATATATTTTTTAATGAGTAGAGGGGCTTGAATTAGGCTACCTCTACTTGTGCAATGACATAATGGAGTTATAAAATGATTTTATGTTTTATTTAGAAAAATTTTTCTCTACCGGAATTTTTTCATATTACTTACCGTTTAGAAATAAAAAATTGTTACTGCTGCTGTTAATTAGTATGCATCCCAAATACGACCTAATTTAATCTATAATGTAGTAACTAATTGTTTAATAATAGAGTTTTAATTAATTCAATAATTGGGAATTCCTTGGAAGCATAAGCACAATATAAAACTTGTATTTTTGTTTTGCCTTAAAACTAATCAGAACTAAATTATTTTTCTAAAATAATTTCTTTTTTGATATTTAATTTTTTGTTTGTAAACTATGTAAGTTTTATGAAAAAATTATTGGAGAAAAAAATTTCTAAATAAAACATAAAATATTTTCCCTTGCAATTCTTATTGCGATTAGGGCGCCATCTACCAAAGATTCAAAAGAAAACTTGGGATATAACGTAACGTTTTCGTGACGTTTGTGTAATTGCATTAAATGTCAAATTTTGTTATTTTTTATAGAAACTTGATTTTATTTGGGAATCCTTAATATTTAGGTATAGGAAGGAACATGATATATCATTTAAAGGGAAATATTCATTATTTTATTTCCTCCAGTAAAATAGCGTATTGTAAGCACCCTTGTGTATTAGAGAGTAAACTTGTCTGTATTCACCCAACATGAGATAAATTGAAATATAACTGCAATAACTATTTAATTGGAACTTTGTTTTGAACAAAAAAATAGGGAAAACGCATAATTTCGGAAAAAACCGCTCAAAGATTGGTATAGAAAGGTGTTATACAAAAATTACCAGAAACTAATGGCGGATATTATATCGATATATCGACCTCACTTATGTACGAATAAATTTTCAGAACTTCAACCATAAAAGTCTAACCTCCCATCAGCTTGTTTTTAAACTTGCCTGTAGACCTTCGACCTTTTCTTCCAGAAACTCATCCCACGATTTATATGGGTAGGCGCGGAATAGATCGGGTTTTTTAATGGAAGCGGTCCAAAGTTCGCAAGACCTTAAATGGCTGCAATCCCCTGCGAAAAATCAAATAATAAAGTAAACTTGTGTGCGAGGATGTAATATACTGGGAGATTAGGTGATTGTAGAGCGAATTTGAGATTTGGTTTCTATTTATGCTTTTTGGAGAATAAAAGAAAACTCATCTCTTTATTTGAATCTTTTTTTACCCAGGAGTGACATTTAGGTACACAATAGTAATTATTTGAACTTTCAGCTCTGGATGCCAAAAACAAAACAAAACTGCACACATAAATAAGGCCAAAATATTACCCTCCAATGCTTGTAAACTGGAAAAAATAGAATGAAACAGAATAAATAGTTCTCCACAATAGATTTTTAAGACCACTACACACTACACTACAATAATAACAAATCAGTAAGCTCAATTTAATACCCAATCATATTACATTTGACCGCCAGGTAGCGTATGGCTTATGTCGACGAATCGGACATTATTATCCCAATAAGGATAGACTTACAAAATCCGCATCCGGGCTGATTTTCTCCGCCGTTGGGGTAGTAATCCACGTGACCTGCAGGTGTGACCATACCCAGGCCTCTCGCATTCGTGTGGATAACGTCGACGAATGTCGCGTCAGTCGGATCGAGGACTTCATCCAGGTATTCGACATGTGGCCATTCGTACAGCGGTGCGGCCGGGTCCAACCCGGTTATTCTAGCGTGAAACATAAATACACTGGGGTGTTTACGACTTACGACAAAGAACGAACTTTCATTTAAGAGGTGTACAGTAGAATCGCTTAACAGCAATATGGAATCAAATATATATGTGGACATGCATACATTTTATAATATCATTACCTTAAAATACAGTTGATATTCTTTAAAATAGTCGGAGATCATGTATTTATTTATTAATATATTTATTTGTTCGAACTAGGAAAAATGATGTCTAAGGCTCTTAAACTTGCAAAAGTTTGGGGCAGGTTTGCTACATTGGTCACTGCATCCTCGTTTTTAGAATCCACCGTACACGAACTTATTTGTACCGCCTTAAGACAGTCGATGACAGTGTCTCTGGCTAAATTGTTGCCAATTCATGAAAATTGTTTCAAATTAAAAAAAATTTGGTGGATAACACTGGAGCAAAGGGAATATTTTCTGTTTAATCGAAGTCCTCCATATCTATGTCGCACTCAAATCCAAAATACAGTTTTAAAAAACACTTAGAATAATGTTTTTATCAATTTGGTATAGTGGATAATCTCAATTTACATGTGTTAAAAGTTTCTTAAGAAAATAATTTAAGTTTAGACAATTCCAATTGCTATCCTCTCCCTTCAAAATTTTAACTTATTTTTTGTTTTGTAACATTACGGTAACTTAAGTCGTTAGACACTACACTTTTCCGCCAATATCTTAATGCATTTTTTACTTTCATTGATTATACCCAATTTTTATTCAAGAGTTAATGCTTTTTTTTGCGACCATACTCAAAATGTTAATTTAATGGAGAATTTAATCTTGACCGACAACGATTCAAAATGCGACCAGAATATAAAACAGATGAAGCGCAAAATCTATAAATTATAAATAAATATTTTATTATTCTGAACATATTATTACTATTACTATTTTTCTACTCCCTTATGTAAAATACTTAATTATATACCGATCTAGCATGTGGAAAGTGTCATTTTCCCACGTCAGTTTCGTTTTCCACTAATCCGAGCCACTTCGGACATTTCCGGGATATTACCGCTCGGTTTGAATTTTGACGTTAATGTCAATTTTGACGGTCGTGTCATTGAATGTATTCGTGTTGTTTTGGAAAAATGTGCCCAGAATCTAATGGTCTCAACTGAAATGCCGTTTTCCACATAATATACTAGATCGTTTTACAACTACTCTTTTTTAAAAGTACTCATCTCATACTGAATTACTTCAAACCCTTGACCCAATATCCCATGACGCATGTCGCGAATATTCTTGGAAACTGTCAAAACCGCAATACTTGCCTCCCGATCGATTCCCC